AGAAGCACGATCGCTCACTGAGCGCTCAGTGAGCTCTTGCATCTGATTGGCATATTCCGTTAGAACTAAAAATATAGACCAAACAGATACAAGAGCTCTCTGAGCGCTCAGTGAGCGGTCGTAGTACTGAATGCCCTCAATAAAGCCTAATTTCACAACTCACGGTTAACTCTTAACCGAGGTTCAACTTATTTCTCATCTCTTTCCAATTCTAAAATTAGAAAGAGACAATGAATAAGTTGAACCTCGGTTAAGAGTTAACCATGAGTTGTGGAACTGGGCCTAAGTAAATGTCATTAGGTTTGTTCGCGTCGCAAGTTCCAACATGCTTCTACCATAGCTCCTTCTAAGGCCGAAATCAGATTACGCATTGAATATTGAGATTAAAGATTGAAAGATTGAAATTTGACCAATCAAAACAATAGGAGCTAAAATTCCTGTGTCCTCACTGGTCAAATTTTAATCTTCAATCTTCAATCTCAATCTTCAATGCGTAGTCTGATTCCGGCCTAAGGCTGGGTTCCAAAATTGACTGCCAGCACTGAATATCTATAGTGCACGTAACGTAAACTGTAGAATTTTCTGTGCTAGCAGTAAATTTGGAACACAGCCCATCTCTACCAAGCGCATTGGAGTGAGTAGGAGCTGTGATAGGAGCATATTGGAACATGTTGGAGCATGCGACGCGAACAAACCTATTATCGCTTCAAACTAATAGCGTTTTCGACCCGTCCGAGTTTGCACCAACCTGGATTAGATTAATGGCATTTTGTGCTCTTCTATTGGTAGAGCGTGTACCATCAACCAATAGGAAAGATTAATCCAATCCAGGTAGATGCAAACTCGAACGGATCGAAAACGTTATAAAAATAACTTTTTAATGTGGGTAGAAAATATTTTTAAGGTTGAGTGTATCTAAAATACGTTCTGTCTAACTTAAACATATTGCTTTTTTCATTAAAAGTTTTATTTTATTGGATATTATGATATTATCAATCTATTCGCAATATCATTAATGGTCGCGTTCAGCAAACTCAACTGTTGCGGAGCGGATCAGTGAGCTCTCGCTGCTATTGGATAATCTAAAAGAATACACCAATAGCAGAGAGCGCTCACGGATCCGCTCCACAACAGTTGAGTTTGCTGAACGCGACCAATATACTTTGTAAGTGGCAGTCAGATGGCGCTAATCGAATTGCAATCGTTCGCAAGATGCAAGGGCAGGTACAGGAACCATCTGATACGAACGGAGTCGTGCCTCATCTACGGCAATCTATGATAGAGGTGGACGCCAGGCGGCAAGTTTTGTGCGTGTTTTTCGATTTTCATTAATAAACTGTCACCACGTCTTTCCAATTCGCACCGTTTGGGTAAGTATATTATTTACGTGAACTATAGAAATGTGCTGATTTTGCGCACGTATTGAAAATACTGCGATATTTACGTCCGAATACCGCCCGTGCATTACTTAGGTTATCCAGGAGCGTCATATTGATTCCCTGCTATTATTTCAGACAAATGAATACTAGAACGTTTACTATGTATCAAATATGTGAATACACATTCTACTTTGTAAATTATTTTGTTAAAAATAGAGAAGCGTAATATAATTTGTAACATAGAATGTGCTAGCTTAACAGAATTATTTAGAAAAACTCAGATCAAACTGTTAGATATTAATTTTATCAATTAAGCTTTGGAGTCTTTAGAAGTACAATACCAAAAAAAATTCTTGTTTATATAATTTGAGGAAAAATGTAGTTTAATGTAAAATTTTAATTAAAGTTTAGTCGATTGTGAGACTATTGAATATTATATTCTCCCCCCATAGAAATTTATCATATTTTTGATGAAGAATATGAATGACGCAACAGAATTTATATTTGTTCCTAAATTAAAATTTATTTAAAATTATCGGACTTATTCTATAACTTTTTCTCAATTATAACTGACAATACAATTGTTAAAAATTATAGAATAGGCTTTTATATGTATAAAATTATACATATTACTACATGTATGTTATCGGTAATATAATTTTTTTTGTAGAAACAATATGGTACGAGGTCGCGGAGGGATGATCAGAGGTGGTCGAGGTGGTATGGGTCGTGGAATGGGCTTTCCAAGGAAGCAGTTTCTGCCACGACACCCATTTGATTATACACTTTGTGAGGCAGCTTTCCCACGTGTTAAACCTGCTCCAGATGAATCAGATTTCCAGTCAGCTCTTGTGAAAAAGAATGCTGATATGTGCCCTACTCCAAAGGAACAGACTTCCATTTTAAATCTTGTAACTAAGCTACAGAGTGTTCTTGATAATCTGATCGTTGCACCAGGAACCTTTGAAGCTTGTGTAAGTGTACATGTTTTCATAGCACACTTATAAATTAAATCCCTGTTTCTGTTTAATACCTCTATCATATATTTTGACATCATTGACATCATATTATTTGCTTGTATTCTCTTTTAATGTAGCAATTGGAAGAAGTAAGACAAGTTGGCAGTTTTAAAAAAGGTACGATGATAAAGGGCCACAATAATGCTGACATTGTTGTCATCCTCAAAACTTTGCCGACAAAAACTGCGGTAGAGGCTCTTGGGAATAAAGTCCATAACGACTTGAAGGCTGTGAACCCGAAAGAAATCTTTAGAGTTACTCAAACGGAATATGGATTCGATATTGGAAACAACGAAGCTACTGTGCGCGTATTAATAACGACGTTACACCAAAATCTACGCAAGCTAGAATCGGAGCAACACTTGGACGTTAAAATCTGTCAAGGTAATTTTTGTATTTTTATTGTCAATATAACGTAGCAATTATTAAAATATGATTTCTCGTAGGACATCTTGCTGCTATCAGACATTCTCGTTGGTTTGAGGAAAACGCTCATCATTCTAGCATTAAAGTTCTGATTCGACTGCTTCGTGATCTTAGAAGCAAATTTGAGGGTCTGCAGCCATTAACCCCGTGGATGCTGGATCTATTGGCACATAATGCCATAATGAACAATCCTAGTAGACAAGCATTGCCAATAAATCAGGCATATAAGAGAGTATTGCAATTGCTTGCTTCTGGATTGTTTCTCCCAGGATCAGCAGGTATATTAAAAACTTATTCTTAAAATTAAAAATCTTTGATATAGTTACCAATGGAAACTACGTGATATCAGAAGTGAGAAAACAATACCTACAGAGATAATTCTCGTAAGTGCGTGATTGACGAATTACAAGAATTATTTACGTTCTAATATCAAATACTTGTTATATCGATTTAATCATATAATTTTGCAAGAATTGCTACATAAATTATATTTTTCAGGTATTTCCGACCCATGCGAAGGTGGCAATATACGCGTGCATACAGCATTAACACTTGAACAACAAGATCTCGTATGTCTCACTGCTCAAACATTACTACGTGTACTGGCTCATGGTGGCTACAGACCATTACTGGAAGGTACCAACAAACTCGCAGTGGAGATGAGCGTATGGGCAGGAGGCGTAGTGGCAAGCCCATTAGAAAAGGCGTATGAGCCACCTACCGAACAGGAGCAGCAAGAGGACATGGACGAAAGTACCGAGGAGATGATCACCGAGAGTGTTTAGGATCTTGAGTAAAGTTTTGAGATTTCCTCTTTTTGTATGAAAAGCTTTCTTTTCGGTGTTTCTTATAAAACGTATTGTATTTATAATATACTTGCACACATATATTTCGATGATGAATGAATTCCGTTGACATTTAAAATTATACTTTTATATAGTGTTTGTATTTGCACCATAGGCAATTTGATGATGATAATGTGAGATTTGATTTAAAATAAAATATAAATTAATGTGCATTCTACCCGATTAAGTAACTTATTCTATTTCTAAGAATTTTTCTACAGCACTTTAAGCATCTATACTCAACGATGATTGTATAAATGGCATGAAGAGATTTGACCTCTGAAGATTAGTTTTATGTAAATTTTTTTATCGAAAAATGTATCTGATCTTAAACATTTGGATAATGACCATGTTGCAGTGATATGCACGTGTAAATATTTGGGAGATCAGCTGATTTTTTTACTATTTCGAATATACTCGTCCACGTATTGTCTACTGATGAGGTGTGCACATTAAATCTCAATAGCACACATTCGAAATATGCTTATATTTTATATGTACTTGCAATTTGGCAGTGATATGCACGTCATTTAAGCGTGTAACGAAGTGTATGGTAGAAAACATTAGTCTTCACTTAGAATCTAATGTAGGCAAGGATCATTCTCCGGGGTTCTGACGACTCGCGCGCAATTAACCATACGAGAACTTGCACCCGGCCGGACCGGTATCTTGAAAAGCTTGCCCTGCGGCATACACACACAGACTTTGTACTGCTCGTAGCTCGTGGTCGGGCTCTGCAGGAACATCGGTGCCACCGGAATATCCTCCACGTCGATGAAAATACCGTCTTTGGCGTCCAGTACGACGCTGCCATTTACACTCTTTAAGAAGATGTCAAGATCGGCGCTCCACACGATGTCCTTGCTTTCTATGTGTACGCCCTCCGCACCGTGCAACGAGACCTCGTTGTCAGACTTGATTGCCAGGCTTTCATTGACCGGCGACGTAATTCGATGAGTCTCTGCGATTCTTACGTCGATCGTTTCGACGCCGTTTGGTAGACCAAAGTTAGGGAAGTCTGTAGTGAAGTAGATTGTACCGGTACGTGGGTCCTTCACCTCAAATGATTCTACTTGCGACATGGTGGTACCATTTGGTAGGACGCCTAGCTTCGAATGCGGATATGCTTCGTGAGTATGTCCGCGACTCTTCACGTCAACGTGCACCCCAGCTTCATCACCAGATATTTCCATTGGCTCATCGCCATAACTCTGGCAGATGCCTGACTGCAGGGATATCTTTAGAAAATGCGAAACGTGATATAATATCAATATTTACGAAGAGACATCGATGTATTGAGTAGCATAAAGATTATCTCATTATTACATTTTTATTGTTTCTTTTTTATACTCTTATATATGCATATATTACTCGTTTTTAAATGTCAAATATGTATATGTACTTCGTCCAAATCTGTTCTTCCATAGAACTTGACAAGATTTTCGTCCGGGATTACTTCTATAGCTTCCATTCCTTGACTTATGCGCAAAACAGCGATGACAGTGATGTTTAGAAAAAGATTGCAGAGACCGATTATCGCCAGGACCAAAGTCAACATCCAGAGACAGTAACGCCTTTTAGTAGATTTTTCGCTCGTCGACGACATGCCGTACGAAGAGGCGATTGTTCTATTAACATTGCCCAAGCAAAAACTTAATCATCCGAAATTTTAATTTAATCTAGTACGGATTGTATCGATTGTTGACTAATTCTATTTAATCATTTTGGAATTCTGATTATTCCTTATTTATTTCCTTTCTAATTAAGATAATATAAAAAAATTTAAATCGTTCGCATATTAATAAGTAAAGCAATCGACTAAGTCGCGTAAGTTACTCAAGTAAACCTTTCTAAAGAACTCTCTAAAATCCTTGGAGTAGAATCTAATTCTAAAGAGTGATATCTCATTCTTAAAAATTGACAATTAAGCCACACATTTCAATATTGGCTCAATTGTCACTTTTTAAAATGATATTCCACTCCAAAGATTTTAGAGAGAAAGATATTAATGATTGACTTATTTTAGTATAAATATTTTTCATTAGAACTGTCATTGGATAGGAATTATTGTTATAATAATAATACACGATTCTTTTCTTATTCACCTCGTATGCATGCTGCCGCAACTATTTTGGCGGATAATGCCTTTAATCAGAGGCCCATCGCTGTTGGACAGATTATCATCGGCCTTCGATATTGATGGCGACCCGGTATCATTTCCGCATACATCTAAAAGAGCTGACATCGAACGTTCTTTCGTTCACCTGCTAAAAATTAAATGTCAGATTGTCATAAAAGTATATATATAGAACAATCAGATGATTAAATAAATTATGAATATAGATATTTAAAAAATAGAATTATATAATAAGAGTATGGACGTAGATAATTAATTTTATAAATATAAATAATTGATTTTATTAATTAAAAAATAATAGTTTTTGTATTATATTAATATATTATAAATTAAGATTTTTTTGTTTTGGTTTTTTTGATAATTTTAGAAAAAGAAAAATATAAAATCTTATATCACACATTCGAACATAATTATATCTCGAAACTGGTACATTTATGGCAATATTTAATTTTATCGACACTATAAATATATCGCTATAAATTACAATACATTAATATAGCTACTAATATACGATCACGCCCATATGTAACGATATATACCTCGTGTCTTCAGCATCGCAATAATCTTAATTAAAACCGTAGAACCAATTTTGCATTTTATTACAAAAAATAACGCTCTTATCGAGGGATCGTCTTTCGTGAGTTATCGCACTAAACGGCGAGCTTCTTCATACCGAATGCATATCTGTCTCGTTGCGAAACGTATAGTCGATCACTTCGTGAACGGTTTCCTTACCTTGGCTGAGATCAGCAGCGTCGCGGGAAGCGGCTGCCTCTTCAGATAAACGAAAATAGACGACCGCGTTACGTTCCGGATTTTCGCGGATTCTACGACGACCGAGAGCGATGGAAGTAGGCGAAGATACACCGGTCGGCGCTTGCGCGTCCAGGGATCAATGCCGAGTGTCCTCAGGAATTCTATCTTGCGCGCATCCGCCTCGAAGAGTTTGTATACTCGCGCTTCTTTTTGACAATACGAGAAATACGAAATTGAAAGCCGCAAGCAAACGAAGTCATAAAAATTCATGAGACACAAATTAATTCGAATTTTCTTATTTTTATATATTATATAAGGTGTGTATTTATACAGGATGGTCCATTTTAATCACTCTATTAGAATATATCAAAATCCTTAAGTTTAAGAAATGTTTCAGGAAAAATTGCTCACTATTACTAATAAGTATTTAATAAAAAAATACTTTATTATAGTGTTTTGAAAAGATTTTGAAGCAGTTATGAACATGAAATAAAAAAATAGGGCTTTAAAAAAATTTTGAGTAACCTTGATCTCTGATCTTAACCCAGTGAACACAAAAGGTTTGTTCGCATCGAAAGCTTCAACATGCTCCAATATGCTCCTACTCACTCTAGCGCGTTGGAATGAGTAAGAACTATAGTAGGAACATGTTGGAACATGTAGAGCATGCGACGCGAACAAACCTAAAGTTACATGTAACGTATCTGTTAGTTGTAATTTCCCACTCAACAACATAACCGTAATATAACACGTGTGTTATGTTACAGCTATATATTCTTGAGTGGGAAATTACAACTAACAAATACGTTACGTGCAACTTGTGTTCACTGGGAAGGACATCCTCTCAAAATCAATCAAGGTCATCTTTTTTCCTCCTAACTCAGTAACTTTTGAAACATTTTTATCTTAAACCTAAGGATTTTAAAATATTGGATTGATTAAGATGGACTCTGTATACTGCTAAGATCGAGTTTTCAATATAAGTCTGCATTAGAAATGAATGAATTGTTGCGTCTTATAAAAAGGAATGTACTTAAACAAATGACCCGTAAAATATTTAGTCAATTCATCATTCTCATTAGTCCTTCTTTAAAACTGTTATCTTTTTTGTGTAAGATTTAATCTAATTGTTTATAGTTAAAAAATAATTTTTGATAGAAGCAAGGATATGTGAGAGGAACAAAATTCTATTAAGGAGGCCAATAATGACACTCTTTTTATGTTTCATAGGATGATTTGATTAGAAATTTAAATAACTCTTCCAAAATCTTTTTAGTTGATTTTTTATAAATGTCAAAGATAATACATATATTTTTCCATTGTCGACCATCAATTTAACATATAAAAAATTGATATGTTAAATGCTATCATTCGTACCCATACTGTAAATTTTATCTTTTCGTGATAAGAATTAAATCTTAAATTTCTTCAATATGTATATTTGGTGCAACAAAAACAATATCATCAACGTATCGATAGTAAAAAAAAAAAGAGATTAATACGACTGGAAGCGAATATATTATTCTCTAAGGCTCGTTTCTACCAACATAGATTAACTTTAATTTTGGTTCAACTTATTTTTCATCTTTTTCTAATTTCTAGAAGTAGAAAGAGATGAAGAGTTAGTTGAACCAAGATTAAAGTTAATCTATGTTGGTAGAAACGGGCCTAAGTCCAGCAAAATGTACTTAATACTAAAATAATGGATACATTTAAATTAAAGGTGTAATGATATGTGTTAATTAAAATATTCCGGCCATGCGGTTCTCTCTATCCAGGGAACGTAATGATAGATTCGGGTGTATACGCCAGGTATAATGCTGCCGCAAAGTCGTCCGAGACTGGTAACCCCAATTACGGTATACATGCATTTGTGGTCCGTGTTAAAAACAGCGAGTGGTCCTCCGCTGTCACCCTTGAATAAACAATTATATTTGATTACTTTGCCTCTAAGTGTTTTTGTTATAAAAAGGATATACAAGCAATGTTTCTTTTTTCAGTTGAAGCTAATTGAGTTTTTGATTAATTGAAGCTAATTGGATTTTTGATCTCTCATCTCTCATTAGAGAAACGAGAGTTGGAAAGAAGCAAACATAAATTTCGGTATAATTGGATTAATTAATACTAATAGTTACAAAAACTATTCTAAGAAGCTCGCATTAAAATAAAATTTTTATTCGGAAGGGGATGAAAACTTTTTGATGGGTGCAAATGTATATTTTACCTGGCAAGTATCTTTCCCGATTTCTCCCGCACATATTTGCCATTCGTTGACGATCCCTAATGCGAGCTCCACGGAACTGCTGCCGTCAAAGAAACTCGCGTTGCAAGTGTCATGAGGGACCAAACTGAGTGTTACCTTCAATAGATTGTCCGAACCTTGGTCATCAGCTGAAAAATAAGCGACGTGCACTTATTAATTTTTTATACATATGTAGTATAAAAATAAAATATTTCCTTTTTTATAATTAGATCACGTTATATTCTTATACAAGCCTTAATAATTAATTTTAGTAACTCAGTTTTGACAATTTGACAGCTGGGTTCCTCTTTTTATGATCTTACCCCAATCGACTAGACCCCATCCTGTGGCGACTGCCTTGTTATTTTCACCCACATCAGGCCAATCAACTGGAAGACATGCCGGTCTGACATATGCATCGTAGACAGCATCTTGCGCTAGACTCAGTATAGCTATATCGTGATATTCCGACGGACGTTTGTAGTCGGGATGTCTTATCCTTTTCTCTATTGCGATGGTCTGCGGCTTCGCGTTATCATTCGACTGTGCGAGATTCAGATCGCCGAGCCGCACCCATTTTGCGCTTCCCCTTTTTAAAGTAAATAAAGTTTATTATAATAATTATTTATTAACACTTGCCGAAATGCGTTAGTTAATAAATGAATAAGTTAATGGAGCGGAAAAAAAAACACCTTTTTTGAATTTTCAGCATGACAGGATAAATTTGAGCTTTTCGAAGAGACTTTTTATACTGAAAAAAGAATTTTCTAAATCTAAATATTTTCTTGAATAGTACTAAGTAGACGTTTTTTAATTGTAAATAAATATTTCAAAAAGGAAAGTATAATAACACTTAAATAATATGTGTTTACGTTTAGTAAATATTTACTATGTAAATAAGTCCTGCAACAATGGTGATTCCTCCACGTGGTGCAGATAACGCGAAATTCATTATTTAAAACTTTAGATAATAAAAAAAGATAAATATTTTTTTCTGTTTCCTCAGTATTTGCTTGTTAAATTATATTTTATTAAATACTTGCAATTTAATTTTTAACTTATTATTTTATTATTTAATTTTTCTTATTTAATTTCTTGTAAGTAATTTATCAGAAATGTTTCTTATGTTCTCCAACGTGAGTATCACTGAAATCTATATAATTTGTATATAACATATGAACTATACATTTTCAATTATCTACATAATTGGAGTGCAATATCTAAAATGTATATCTGCCATATTAGTGCCACAATTTTTATCGGTGTAAGTTACAAATTTTGCAGTGTTAATACAATCAGAAAAATTATATTTTGTTAACAAGCAAGAATAACATGCCAATGGTAAAAATTTGGACATATTTAATTTTTTTATTTATATCGCAAAAATAAAGCTTACAAATGTTGAAATTCATTTTCTGGTTACCTAAGGAATAAATCTGTAAAGTTTAACGTTATTATGAAATTTATACTTAGAAACGTTTCCTTGTTATAGTATATTACTAAAGAAAATATTAGTTAGATTCAGGAAATTTTTTTCAGTGTAAGATTTGAAATGTGATTATTTTCAATTAATTTTTTATCAAAGTTAAATATTTTGATGATAAATGGCTCTAAAATAGAATATTTAAAAACATACTGAAAATAAATAATATAATCTAATCTAAGTATCTCATTTATTTTAATATATTATTTAATCGTATCTCGAGGGCTTCGTTTTCTTTATAATCTCAAAATTGTTTATAAAAGTAATCCTTTCCCAACAAATAAGCTGACGTTATTTATCGTCATTTTGACGTCAAAATGACGTCTTGGACATCAAAATGATGATGAATAACGTTAGCTTGTTTGCTGGATTAATATCTCAAAAAAAACTTGGAAAAAAATATAGATTTCAAATCAATTATAATGATAAGAAAGATCATTAATTTTTGTTTTAGAATACTGTAAAAGCAATCTTGGTCATTTTATTCATCAATTTTCTAAGCATTAGATAAATGAAAGATGAAGAAAGACAAAACCGTCAAAATTTACCAGTCTGCTGTCCAAGTACAGTGCGCTGCTGTCAAAACAATTTTCTTGGAAATTAAGGTACCGCCGCAAACCCATAAGATTCTATCACGACCGTCGAAACCAACGGCTGCCATATGCGGAAATTCTTTCGCTTCGGCTTTCTTGCCACCGACGATCAGTTTGCGTGTTGACAGGGCGCATAGTGACTTGTTGACAGGTTTTCGGTCAAATGTAAGTGTGGGTGGTATTTCAAAACCGAAAACAGCCTCCGCGTTTTCCGCGCATTCTAAAGAAAAGAAAATATTAATTTAAGAGGACGTAATAAAACTCGAGTTGAACTCATATTCTAATTAATTCTATCATATCCTGATTAATCTTCTTATTTGACAAATTATGATTTTTTATTTTGCTTTTTAAGATCTTAATACGAATTTATTTGTCTATATTTATTTTATATATAAGTATAATTTCGTAGAAGTGTTTACGTGCGAGATTTTGTATATGTGTGTGTATGTGATATATTTTTTTAACATCAAGCTATAGCGCAAAAGAAGAAAAAACTATTTTAATGCTCCTGCTTATTCATTGCAGTTATTTTGAATTATGACGTCAGAAACGAGAAAAACAAAGAAAATTCTACAAACTGTATTAAAAAATATGATTATTTTTTAATAAAATAATATTTGCAATTGATAGAAAATAGAATTATAATAAGTATACCAAAAATTTTTTTGTGTCCCGGTAATCAATAAATAATTATAATTTGAAATTGAATTAATTGCCTAACCAGAAAATAAAACAGAAAGTAAATATAACAATAATTGTCGAAAATGAACACGATTTCTACTACAAAATAAATACAATTGTTATTACAAAATAAAATGATAATTGCACTTTTCATTTATTTTATGCTCAGAAAATTGAAGAAATTGACTAACGAGTGTTTTACAGTATTCTAAAGTAAAAATTAATGGCTTTCTATCATTATAACTGTAGTTCTTGTTCTCAATTATTCAACATATTTTACAAATGTATCGTATTAAAAGCAAATATTGTGCTATTAGAAAGTATTTCCATTTTAATATGTTTTGTAAGAATTTTTATTCTGTGGTTTCTCGTTACTGACATTATCAATCTAAAGATTCTTAATAAGTAATCAGAAATCTCATTTTCCATTCGAGTTTGTTGAAAATGTCTATATTGCTGATTTAACATTAATAAACTGATTGTTCATCATTGCTAGAAGTTGTTTACATATACTTAAGAAACCGTATGCTTTTACGTATTGTATGTTTACGTAAAGAATTCTTCTGAAGAGATAGAAGTATAGACCAAATTGCACGCTAGTTTCAACAAATGTTGATGCTGTTCTAGCGTTCCTTATCTTTGATTAGAGAATAGGTTGAAGACAAATTTTTTTCTTACTTGCTCGTGCTACAGATCCCCTTGATCCATCTAATTTCAAAGGTCGTACTGTATCTGTTCCTACTGTACTCTCCTGTTGCGGTGCCGGCGTTGTAGTTGGTTGAGTGATCGTATTTATTTTTGGGCAACATACTATTGGCTCGAAATTTAAAAATCCGCAGGTTTTACTAGGCATTTTGCCTGCTAACAATTCTTCATATACTTTTGAACATTTTTGTAAAAGCTTGCATTCACCTGATGAATTGTCGACCGTGCATGGCTCTGAAAATTTTGAAAGACACATATTAACAAATTTTTGATAAAATCAGATAATCAGACAATTTTACTCGCATGTTTATCATCAAATCAGACAATTTGAGGATTAGATATTAACAATTTGGTTGGCCGTTTTAGATATTAACAATTTTATTGTCACCACTTTGAATTTATCAATTTGGAAATTTGTTAAATATAATAGTGTAAATTGTTGCGACATTCACGTACGGCATTCACGTTTAGATTATTTTTCAACTAAGATTGACCAGATTCACACTGAAGATGTTTTATTTTATATTCGCAAGAAACAAAATTATAAAAAAGTTCTTACAACTCTACTATAAAACGTTTGTACAACTTACATGTCAGAAAATTATACAACTAAAAAGTTAACGTTGATTGTATAACTATTTGTAGTTTTTATAACATCTATATGATTAAAATTTAATCGATAGGGCTATAAGTTATTCATTGTATAACTATTTGTAGACGATTTGGACACGGGTCCATTCGAACTTTGGAACAAATTTTACAATAAACCGCAAAAGTGATCACGAAATGCTTGATATTTTTTAATTCTACAATCTTTAATTATCTTAAATCAATTACTTTTCAAATTTTTAACACCTTTTAAATAATGATTTACAAGGGTTTTCTTTTTTAAAAAAATTTTCGCACGATGGCTGAAAATACATATTTGCCTCTATTTTATGAATGTTATGACAGAGAACTGTCAAACTGCTATCACATGTTCGGTGTCTTATAAGGACTTTACGTTATAAATAGTACGCAAATCTGCTTAACCGTATTCATTTAAATTAAAAAGGTCCTATTTAGAACATGATCCGATTTAGACCACTCTCCCCTATATTACAAGTTTTAAAATACAGTTAATATGATGTTAGAAATGGTTGTATAGATTTCCTACTTATCTATATAGTTAATAAACGTTTCGACGTCATTACTTGCACTTTTAAGTTGCACAAGATAAGTTATAAAGTTTTAAAGAAAGTTTCATGAATGTTTCTATATCAAAATCTGTCAGATGTTGAAATAAATAAATTGTTATATACTTTAACAACTTGTGTTGGCTCTGATAAGCATGGCATTAATACATTTATTGACTTATTCGCTACAGCCTATTCTGTTTCTTGATAAAATTAATGATTACTACTTAAAAATATTTTTTTCGATTCGAATTTGCGACTAAAATTTTAAGAATAAAGATATGAGACAGATTAATGTGAGACTTTTCGAGTTTTGAATTATTTTATAGCTTTAAGATATTTATTAAAGAAAAAAAGACAGTTGTAACAATTGAGATTTTAGTAAATATATACAGAGTATAAATATAACAAATTACTTAGACTAATCGAAAGGCATTTCATAAATTTATTTCAAGTATTTAAGATTTTATTTTATGCCACATGTTTTTTTCACGAATCTAAAAAGAATTGAGACTGATCTAAGCAGAACAACAAATCGCAATAATATCAAAATGACATTAAAATGAATCATTTGAAAAGTGATTTTTAATTATTTTAGAGCCATTTTGATGTCATTTTGATTTTATAATGAGTTTTTTTACTTGAGGATATATAAGTCATCTTAATGAGATACAAAATTGATTGATCTTTCTTGTTAACAAGGTCGTTGCAATGAATTTATTTGCTATAATAAATTAAAAACATAGGCTTCTTTTTCAATATCAGAGGTATCTCTACAAACTTTACAATTGTCATTAAATCATTATGTCGAATATTAAATTGTATGACAGAGTATATTACACGAATAAACACAAACCTAATCGTTGATACCTGGCGCGTGATTATCAAGTAATTATTCTTCTTCTGCATGCAAAATTAAAAGTAAAGAAATTATACAGAACCAAATAATACATTTAGAATTGTATATTAAATATATTATATAATCATTTATAAAATCAGAGAGTTACATCAAAGAAACATATTGCTGTACAAAAGATTTTGTTTAGTATACAGCACGTAGTTCGAAAGACTTTTCCATTCACCAAGAAGAATGTGCTTGATATATTCGTTCCCGTATTTTTAGCGAAGTGAACTAATACTCACGTCCGATGTCCATTCCATGTGTCGGTGACAGGATCGAAACCAACACCAATAATAATAACGATGAGGCGATCGACACGTTCACTGGCATCCTCGATCAGCCTTGGTCAGCCTTGATCACACTATTTTCTCGACTGATCGCAAAGACTCGTCGGCGATGGAAGATATACCTCGTCTAACACGTTTATTCCATGCGTTTCTGTTTTTCCCGATCCCCACTCGATCGCTCGTTCGCCCCGGTGGTGGTGATGAACCACGAGGTCATTCTTGTGATGTACTTCTTGATAAATCAGTCGATCGTACGTATGATTTCATTTGCGTCTTCGAGGAAGATTTCAGCAAAACGATCTAACGATGGATGATTAAGAGCAATCAGTTGTCGCGTGCCGCAAGCGATCTGTAACAGGAATTGAAGCCTTCGTAATTCTTATGCGACTTAGATTGAAATCGCTGTAATTTCTGTAATTTCCATTTTTAATATGCGAATATGTATCTTTCACGCGAATTATTATCATGCTGCTGTCGTCACGAAAAACGATACCAAAAAGTTATCTCTGCCTACTTCGACTTTGAATTTAACTGAAATATAGACTAGGATCATTAATTCCATAGATATCCAATGAATAATGCAATGTACATATATGATTTTGTGTGCATTCATGCATGGAATCGGTTTCTCACAAAAGTCGCTCCTTATTTGGATGTGTTGATTAATACCTGAAATATTTTTTATACTTTTATACTTTTCTTGAAATAAAAGATTGTGAATAAAAGACTCACAGCCTTTTCGTTTGATATGAAAAAAAATGATGTTGTATTAATAACATTAATTTGGAAATAATCTTATTTACTCAATATTCTTATTTTAATAAAACAAGTATTTACTTGTTTCATTAATATGCTATTAAATTGACAAGGTTATTTCAAAGTAGATCTAATATTACTATTATAACATTATTTTTTCCGCAATTTATATCCTGAGAAAAAAATTGTTTATTTGATTTAAATACATGCATCCTCTAACAAAAAAGATAAAGATATAAACTAATTTAATTTAGTTCTTCATCTTTTTTGTTAGAGGATGCATGTATTTAAGTAAAATATAATATGTTTTTTGTCGAAAGAAATAAAAACAAATTAAATTAATTTTGATAAATGAACAATTCTTTTCTCAGTACAATATTTCATACAATTGTATCATTTGTATATGTATTGATATATTCTCTTGTTTTTTATGTAACGCAGAGGAAATCGACAATTTCGTAAGAGTAAAAACAAGGAAAACAGAAACAACTATTTTATTTCTCATTAATATAATGCGCAAAGTAGATCGATATTAGGATTGTATCTGTGTTAGTCATATCTATCTCTTATTATATATTCTGCATTTTTATTATATTACGATGGTTTTCTTACCGTATTCATTCAATATATATGGGAAATACTATGTTAATTTACTTAAAATAAATGTAAAGATAATGGAAACGTATGTTAACTTTCTTAAAAGAAGTCTTGATACAAAGTTCAAGGATAACAGTCTTTGATTTACTTTAGAGAGAGATTTAGAGAGAGAGAGAGAGATTTTTTGGAAATTTTTGTGATTTCTTTGCAGAACTTTCTTAGATATTATTATGATTAATATAATTTATTTCTTTTATGGTACCACTATTTCGTTTATGGGCTACATATTACTAACTTATTAGAAATCTAATGATGATTAGATATTTTTCGATACGTCAAACGTTGAACTTAATACATGGAACAAATCCGATTCGATCCATCATGATCGACGTTACGACGCTGCCAAAGGCCCAATGGATGATAAGGCCAATTTCATTAAGAACGAAACACGTGTACACATCTAGGGATGTAGCATTTTTTAAAATGTTACTTGCAAGAAGTTAATACGATAATATACAATTAGCATAAGTTTAGTAATACATTAATTATTCTGAGACAAACAAATTAATGGTTTCGCGGAAAATATGAATCTGTATGAAAGAAATATCTTTATGAATAAAGTAAAGTGTCAAATGTGCAAAATTTATGTTCTACGCATTCTAGGATATGTAATAACGCAGAAGGATGTAGTGTGTATTTGAGTAATAATAATCAAATGGTTTCTGAATTAATTAAATGGGATTTGTGAACGCTTTTGGAGAAGGTATATACCATTCTTAGCAAAATTCTCGCGAATTATGTCTCAGGGGCTAATACGTGATAAACAAAATTTTACAATTCTTGCTCTTTATTTTATAAAAAAAATTTTTATTTTATAAAACAAATCTTTATTTTATGAAAGTTACTTAAAGACTTATTCATCAACATGGCAAATGCAATATCGAAAATAACTACTACAAATAATAATCTATTTTAGTAGCTGTAAAAAAATTGTTTTGAGATTCATACATTCAAGTATTTATAAAACATCTTTTGTTAAATCTGAAATTTAAGTTAATGTTTTGTTCAATTGACACATGTGTGTGTTATGTGTGTGTGTAAAAAGAAAACTATTTTTTATCGTGAGCGTGAGTAATGATATGTGGTTAAATCAGAACACAACGCAGTTTTTCTATGAAATAACTGATTATTAAGGTACAGTACCTACTTACTGGAAACAGACGCAAATACTTTATGAAATGCACCAGGAAGAATTCAGTGGATACGTCATTGCTTGTAGTTCCGCTAATATCATTAATGACACCTCGACTCACGGATCGCCAATCGTTAATAAACGATATCATCGTCTGGCAACCCGCATGCACTTCGTTACGCATTATCCGTTGTTTTTAAAGCGAGAATTTGCTATTAAGGCCTTTGTTCGACGAAAGTGTCGGTACACCGTGTATTGGATTTACAATATGCACAGAGAGCTTGCGATCGCGTTGTTCGTCACAATTTTACTCAGGAATTCTACGGCGCGAAAAAGTGAAGAAAGTTAGTGATAGCCTGTTTGCTTCGTTATATCCGCGATCGGATTGGAAGAATTGTTTATTTCGAATGTATGCACACATATCATGATTCCAATGTATCCTAATTTTTTGCCAAATTAAAAATTAACTTTTTATGGATAGAAATTGAACTAAAAATCATGGCAACTTTATAATTTTTACTATTAAATATTGTAGCATTTAAGTACAAAATTAAAAAAATATCTGTTTAAATTAAACTCCTAAAAGTGATTAAAAAATAAGAACAATGCTTAATTTAGAGACTTATAGAGCTTCTGTAAAATCTTCCGTAAAACTTTTGCTACAGGAAGATCAACTCTAATTTTATTTGTGACTTTAACTGCAGTTTATTTAATACTGTAAATGTTTCAAAGCATTTGATTGACCAATAGAAGATAAAAATTAATTAATCGGCCAATCACAAAATGTTTCAAAATGTTTCAAAATGTTTCGAAACATTTTGTTGCCGTAGATAGTTATTATCACACAATTTGCATCACAAATTTACTTCTGTGGAAATGTGTAATGTTTAATAAATCGATTTTAATAAATTGTTTCTAGAACTATTTTTCATTATGCGAATATGTGCTCAGTGATTACAAGAGTGTATAATTTGTTTAGATCGTACAAATAGGTGCGCGTTTCGCAGGAGATGCATTAAGTAATCATGCAATAATAAATTAATGAACTACGCATTTTGCAGGAAAAGAATTACGCGTATAAATGAGTAACAAAAGTAATTTCCATATATTCCCATAATTCCCTCACATCGTAATTGCACCATAAATCGTCGTTTGCATCGTTTCCCACCCATTTTCCGCTACGATCTTAATTTGCATAATCCCCGCTTCTTCGTAGAATGTAAGGAATACGCCGATTTGGTTTACGAAACCGAGAACTCGCCGACTTTACGTATCAATGCCGGCTCGAATAAAGTCTCCCGCTGCGCCGTTGTCGAGACACCTCTAATCATCGGCGGAATCCAAGCGAAACACGCGGAATTTCCGCATATGGTGAGAATAAATACATATTTATCGCTACAATCTGCAAAATAATTATAAAAAAAGTAACATATAATGTTGTCGAATGTTATGACAAACATATAGCATAAACATTTGTAAACAATGAAAGTTGTTTTCTAAATTTCAATTATTTAATAGAATATGATATTAATATAACTGTCACTAACATGACTGTTACGTAAACAATGTGATGTAAAATTTATGCTTATATAAAATTGAAGTAATCATAAATATGCAGAAAAACATAAAATTTAATATATGTAAAATATAATAAAAAATATATTTTTAATACATGTAAAATATAGGATGCACGTCCCTATAATTTTTAAAAATAGAAAATAATAATTGCAAATATTAAATTTTATTATTTTTTTTGTTAAATAAACTAATTTGTTAAAAAATTTTTGTTTTTTTATTGTCACATGTTTAACACGCAATACACGGCATTCGCTTTCATATTCGATCCTTAAAACGTGTCATTCAGGAAAATCCCTTCTAATAACAACACAATATAGATTTCCATATAACATTTTAATCACCAAAGTAATTAACAGAGCAGTATTTTCCATATTGTAGGCAGTGATCGGTTATGGCAAACAAGACGTGTCCTGGCAATGCGGAGGAAGCATCATCTCCGAGAATTTTATTCTGACAGCGGCGCACTGTATGGAATCCCCGGACAAGTAATTTTTCTACAATTATTTTTCCGCACTTACATCATTACTACATTATCACCAATTTTGGATATCAAATAGAAACTTATATTAGGGCGGGACTATAATATGTGCTGCTCGGAAATATGAACAATAGTGAGTTTTTGCAACACCATTTATCCAGATACGGTGAACGCTATATATATAAGGTCAGGTTCTTCTTCTTAACAACTAATTAAGAAAAGGATAACGTGAATTTAGCGTTCACCGTATCTGGATTTACGTTATTGCAAACACTCCCTATTATCTCGAGAAATGGACGAAAAATCTCCGCTGTATCCTATTATTAAATTATCTACGTGTTTCTCAGAGGTCCCGCAAGCAAAGTGCGAGTCGGCTTAATTGATCTGTTAGCTCCCGGCGATGCTGTACAGGAGAGGAACGTCGCGGAAAGAATTAAATATCCAGATTATAAATCTTCGGTCAAATACTACGATATAGCGTTAATCAAGCTTGAACAACTATTGGAGTTGAAT